CAGAATTACCGTATATCATTTTAAGCGCATGTAAATTCGACAGCGTAATTTGTTAGAAATATGCAAATTTTGTCGATCACGGACTTCGATAAATTTTCGCTCGCGACAAAACCAGCTCGATACCCGCAGGTTTCACTTCTGATCCTGTAAAAATAAGAGTATATTTTGAAAGCCAAGTATAATTTAGCTCAGTTTGAGGTCCCCTTTTCGAAATTTTACATCATATTTTTAGTGCATTTTTGACGCCTCGATGAAAGCTCGAAACAGGGATGTGCTTTAGGCAGTCCAATAAATTTATGTTTCAACCAAATACTTTCAATCTTCTTTGAAGAGTAGATGAAAAGTATCTGAAGTTAACAGCGTAGCTAAAATTTGGAAATACATAATAGTTTTGAGTCGGCAGCTCTCTTAATTCTACCTAAATTCTACCTCGAGTGAGCTCTCCAAATAGCCAGACACGGGCAAAATATATTTTGGCGTGTAACGAAGCCCAAAAATATAATTTCAAAAAAAAAACTTTATTTTTAGTTTATGTATACCAAAGGCTTTTCACTCACAAAAAATAAAGAGAATCGATTTTGCGAACCCAAATTCACCGGACCGCTCTTAGCGGGAGTGCTACTTAAATTGCCTCTCTTAATTCAAAATTTTTGAGCGTAATAGAATAAGATGAAAAAGCCCAAAAATTGGGAAGAGGATGAGTTGAAACCTAATTAAAAGATTATTTTATACTTTCAAAAGTAGGTCACTTGAACAGAAGGAAACAAATGAGCATGATCAAGAATAGTAGAGAGCGACGTTCAAGGCTAAAAAAGCTGAGGGCAACTACGTATACGTTCCCTCCTATCACCTCCCTTTCTCCTCGCTTTTGCCACTTTTTGTATAGAAATGATTACTTGTAATGTTATGAAGAATAAAATACCTTTTAAAGTGAACTGATCAATGTCCTAACCGAGAAACCATTTAAAATCTACTGTGGACGAGCCCCCTTACGTTGCTATGGTAACTGACTTATATGTCGAGTGACCCCAACCCTTGGTGCCTTGCACAGGGTGTCGACCGATATAGCAAGGAATAGTTCTGTACTTGGAATAAAAAACCGTGTTTATTGATAAAAATCCACTCTTTCGAAGCTTCAAGGTAAGCCTTCCTACTATAAGTTGAAACTAAATGAACTAAGGTGGCTTTGGTTCTTCTTGGTTGAGCTGGCGATGATTTTAAATTCGAATTTTATGCCCTAAATATTGCTTCCAAAACACCTCCTCCCTCTCAACAAACATAGGTCCTAAACTGTAACCTTTCATCCTTCTACAGAGACGTGCAGAATCATCATTGATATTTCTTTACCTGTTCTATTCATATCATAATCTAAGTCCTTGCTGGTGGCTGAACTAAACTTAAGCTTAAACTATATTTTGTTGTGTACAAACAGCTGTTTATAGGTTTTGAAAATATGCTCCTTAACTCATAAGAAAACTTTAAGCTTATAGCTCAATTTGCTGAGCTTATCTATTTTTCCACAAGTATTTTCTGTTGTTTATAAGATGCCATCGACAGAATGTTTATTTTGTTGCTCAGATTTTGTTATCTAAGCTTATGACTTTATACCAAGTCTTATTATGCCCAGGGGACCCGGAAAAAAATTAAAAGAGCAATCAGGTTGATCTAAAGTGTTAAAACTGAAGCTTATAACAATCCCAATTCATTGAACTTTACACCTTAATGACATTTTTCTCAGGCCTTTGTGCTAAGACTGTGAAGTAAATTTTATGAATTTATCCGGTGTGTTCTGTACTTGAACAATTGATTTCTCAAGTGAACACTTGAAAGGACGTACGCAATTAAATAATTGTAAGGAGAGAAAACATACTAGAATTAAACATGCCCCCAGTCAGATTCGTAATTTCTTGTAATTTCCTTTTTTATGTGTTTGTATATTTTTTATAATATTTAGAAAGACACAGTACGTTGTGGTTTTCAGTGTCATTTCCTTATGCTATCTGCAACAAGTGCATGCCATATTACATATACCAATATATATAATATAGAGGATATTACATGGGCACGTGGAGATACGAAATTTATCTTCAAGTGCTGAAAAGATCTCTCATGAGTGAGAGATTTTCAACACGAGAAGATAAATTTCGTATCTCTGCAAGCACCCATGTAATATTCTGTTTATATAGAGGATATTACATAGCCGCGCGGAGATACGACTTTTACCTTCCAGTGTTCAATTGATACACGTGTATCTCACATGTGAGATATCTAAATTGAACACGAGAAGATAGAATTCGTATCTCCAAGCGGCCATGTAATGTTCTGTTTATATAGATATAGAAACTTGAATAAAACAAAAGCTCAAAAATTCTTTATTTCTTTATTCTTTATTGTCAACAGCAATATCTTCATGTGTGAAAGATATGGTATCTTCCACTGGTGAAAGATATCAAGTTTTCGACACTAGAGAAAACCTGGTATTTCATTGATATCTATATAATAATATATTATATATACCAATGAGGTCACCACTGTGTTCTGTTCTTTGGGCCAGGTGATTTTGCTTCTCTCAGCCAGAACGAATTAGACAATCAGCGAACACTTTGTTCGTAGCTCAATATTTCATAGTTCAAGGTTTTCATAAACTCAATAAACAACAGCTTTTACTCGAAAATAAAGAAAATAAAACTTATACACAGAAAGAATCCCCAAATATCTTTCCTTTTATGAATAGTATTTTTCATCGTTGGTGGTGGAAAAAATTTCGTTTTGATGAGAAATAATTGAAAATACTTGGGAATTTATGCTTAATAAACAATACATTGCATGCTGAGATTCCAAATCACCTGATGAGATAGCACAATTGTAACCAAAGAGAGTGGGTGTACATATGTGAAGGGGTCACCATTCACCTCTATGTATAGATACATGATAAAAGAAGTCCATTCTACGAAAAAAAAAAACGCAGTCAAAGCCTGCATGTGGCTACTGCCATTTTCAACCATTTTCATCTTTCCTTTTATGAATAGTATTTTTCATTGTTGGTGGCAGAAAATATTTCATTTTGATGAGAAATAATTGAAAATACTTGGAAATCTTTGCTTTGATAAACAATACATTGTATGCTGAGATTCAAAATCACCTGATGAGATAGCACAATTGTAACCAAAGAGAGTGTGTGTACATATGTGAAGGGGTCACCATTTACCTCTATGTATAGATATATAATAAAAGAAGTCCATTCTACAAAAAATATGCAGTCAAAGCCAGCATGTGGCTACTGCCATTTTCAACATCATGAAGATTTTGACTGGTGATGTCATATATTATGTCACATGATTAAAAGATGTGTCAGCAGTGTTTAGCAAAGTATGTCTGTCCAAGTTTGACTCACATTGATCACATATTTATAGAGCAAAATTACAGTTTTTTATGTGTCCACGTGACTGGTGACGTCATGTCACATGATGGCACTGTGTGTAAGCAATGTCTGGCAATGTATGTCTGTCCAAGTTTAATAATAATAATAATAATAATAATAATAACTTTAATTCTTATAAAGCCCATTACACCTGTCTCAATGGTCTTAACAAATAGTTAGAAAATTTG